ACGCTGCCACGACGACTTATGTCAGGCCCACTCCCATGTTGCCCCTAAATTATCCTGCCTGCCATATGCCACCATCTATGATATATAAGACGGAAACAATCAAGAGCAACTCTTCTTGCGCATAATCTTCTCGCACAGTGTTGCAGCTTCTCGCCAGTGTGTTATGGTAAATGCGAATTATTCTTTTTTTAAAAGACTAATTCCACTTGTTGCAAACGTGGCTTCTTGTGCGTACATTAAGAACACCTTCCAAAATGTATTTCTGGATGTGTAGCCAGGTGGCTTTGCAGAATTACTACTACCGTATGGATAACAGCACCAAATGGACGTATTGGCGGTATACCGGTGCACCATAACACACCAGTCCTCATAAAAGTCTGAAATCCAAATTTTCATTGGCAAATCTGTTTTAGCAGTCTTTAATTGACCCTGTCGCCGAGTTGGACGCAATTTGAAGGTTTATTCAGCCTACTGAGACTCGCTAAGGGTCAATATTGACCGTTTATTTCAGTCCGGGTGACACGCAATTTTTTGGGGCCGACCAAGAAGGTGAGTGCCTGGAGCAATAGCAGCAGCAGCTTTCTTACGTGCCTGAGGTGGGACTGGAATATCATCTTTGTCGTCATCTTGAACTGCCGATGGATAGTACGGCAAGTAGAGCGCTGGGATCGTGTCGTACTTCTGAATGACTTTCACCTTGCTTATATCCAATGTGATCGCTGGTGCACACGGTAGGAGAATGTCTCTTGGATTGAAACCCACAGGTAGAACGTCACTACCAAACAGCTCCACATTCATTACCCAAAAGATCTGGATGAATTCTGGCAAAAAGTGATCTCGGCAGTTTCCTCGATAGGCGTCGAGATCAAGTGCTGCATCTGGACCTTGCCATCATACAACTCGAACATGTAATTGTCGGTGAAACCAGCCAGCAGATTGTCGATGAACTTGTCGCGAAAAGACTTCCAAATGGCGAAGACAGACCTGCGAGCTTCCCGATGATCAATGAACTTGGCGCCCCTGACCATGTTCATGCATGAGATGTCATCAGGATGGTACAAGTTCTGGGCCATCAGCATTTGCTTCACCCAGGAAACAACACGGTCTACAATCATGTGGCTGTGGCCCGGGATGATGAAGACAATCATGACGTCCTTAGAATGCCATTGAGAGGTAACAGTCCAACTTGATCGTGCCGTTGTTCTTGTTCTGTGTGACAGTTGTCCCGGATGGTGACGAGCGTATCGGGAGGAGTCCTGCCTTCCTCAATATGATGATTGCGCTGCTCAATGCGAAAAGCCATTCGCAGCGAGCACAGCGTGTCGACGTTCTGGCCCTGACATCGCTCATCGTACAGGAAGGCATTGTCCTCATTTTGAGAGATATCCGCTATCACGTCCAGGTGCAACGTGAGGTTCGAAGTGAAGCAGTCCGATCCTGGTCGACAATAGCCAAAACTTGGGATGACAATTGCTTGGCCATAGTCCTCGGCGAGAAGGAGAACTAACAATGGCTCATGTGGTTCTCGGTTTGCTTCGTCAACATCCTCATTAATGTAATCAGATAGTATGGAGTCGAGCCGATCGTCCCTGTGCGTGTCAGAAAGCCCTTCGAGATAGGCCTTTGTGAATGCCGATACTGCTTGACGCTGATGTCTGGCAGTGCCAATATGCATGTCGAGCCTGGTCGGGACTGCACCCTTCGAAGCCTCACTTGCGGATGGTTCGTTGAGAATCCACTTTAATCGTATGCACAAATCACAGACATCCTGCATTAATCGGGTCAACCGCAGGCCTAGATACTCCAATTTAACGTACTGGATGAATGTACAATACACCATTTTGCGAATGGACTGCTTCTGATCTTGGGGCAATGCCTTCCATGTGGCCTCAGTCTTTGTAGACCTTGAGCCATGTGAACCCTTCATCAGTTAAGTACTACTGGGCTCGCCTATGGGGACAAGGAAATCCATCTTCCAGGTTGTACTGATCACACTGCTTCTTGAAAAACTCAACCCTGACCTCGTTGAACGCATGAGAAGTATTTTGTTGCTCCCGACTCTTCTCGGGATCAAAAGTTCGGAGCCACTGAACTCTGCTGGATCCAACTTTGAACAGACATGATCTCAACTCACTTAGTCCCATCGATAACAGGTTGAAGATGATGCCATTCCCCTTCTCCCAATCAGGTTCGTGTCGTTTCGTCTTGACTGACCCTTTTGTCTTGGATGGATTTGACCTTTTCTAGTCCGTATCGCTCGATGATCCTGCCAAAGGCCTTGGCGTTGCTCTGCGCATTCGTTAGTTGTGGCTGACAAACGCGATGAGCACGCAGTGCCGCTGAGCTTCCAGTTGACAATGAAGGATACGCAGACGCAGTTGCCCTTGCAGACGATCGAACCGCTGACTCTCCAGCTGACGATGAAGCACGTGCAGACGCTGTAGCCATCGCTGACGCTCCACCAAAATAAAATTCCTGTGCCGTCGCTATTGCTGTTGCCGCTGACTGAGCTGCTGCTGTAGACCCATGAGGTAACGATGAGGCCCAAACGGACGATATCGCTGTTGCCCTTGAGTGAGCTGCAGACTCTCCGTGATGATTTGCCTGAGATTCAGCAGCTGCTTCCCCATTCGAATGTGGTGACAACATGAGTCAATCTTTTGATGCCACCATCCACCAAGAAATGATTCGGGAAATGAATCGAGAAACCGTCCGGACCAAGTCGAGGGCATGAGGAGTCTAATCTGTCAAGGGCACGTGTAAAAATAAGTAGCCAATCGTGATCAGACTGGGTGCTGCTATACGGCAACAGACTGTGAAGTTTCATGTTCAGTCGCTCATAAACATTCGTCTTTCTGACTGCTTCGACATCACGAGAACCGATTTTGATGTACCACCACCCCATAAAATTTTCTGACCTGGGTTTTACCGTACATGTATAGTATTGTACACTACAGGAAGAAAAATCGTGAGGCTGAACCTCGCTGCCTCCTCCTCACTAGAGGCTGGGAACAACTCCACGTGGCCTGGGGCCCGCGATGGGCCGTATGGGAGACAAGACGGAGGCAAGATGGCACCGCATCTGTTCTTCCGTGGCAGCAGCAGCGTCATCACGAGCAGTGCGGTTGCGACGCTGTACAGGAAGAATGTCGCGGTTGACCGTGAATGGTCAAGCCACAGGGAGGGGCAATCGGTAAATGGTACCCTAAATAAATTTGGCGGAAAAACTGCAATAGCTCAAACCCGCCAGAGGGGACGGTTTGCTTTAAGTCGTCGGCTTCCCAACGGGTTCCGTTCCTCAGGACCGTTCGTAAGTCGAATGGTTAAGTCCGTTCATAAGTCGAAGGGTTCCTAAGCCGGAACACAACAACGCACTGCATTTAAATGCACGTACGATCGGTGTTATATAATGAATTACGGTTCAACAAATAATGTAAGCATTGTTAAACTCATAAATAATAAGAAATATTGCAGCATTTGCATGTAACACTAATAAATACTGTCGAGTTTAGTAGACAACAAGCATAGCACACCTCTGGGCCAATAATTTAGGCTATTTTTGCGGGGGGGGGGGGGGGTAGTACAGGCCATGATGCCACTCATCGTGCATCCTGACACAATCATGGCATAAAAAATATAATGCAATCATTCTTTAAACTACTGAAAGCAAAGTAAGAGATCAACCTCGTGAGAGAAGGGTGCCAGCAAGCATCGGGTGTATTCATTCAAGAGTGCATCTTCTGTGAACAAGGAAAAAGTGAAGGTGACCTCCAATGAGTTATCTGCATTTGATGCCGACAAAAAATAAATGGGAGAGGCATGACCACAGAACTACAACACCCTCAGCTTCAACCTCGAATTGCGAAAAGAGATCAAATTATGGTTTTTAAATGCCTGTTATAATTGAGAAACTGGAATCGAAGGCTCAATAGAAAGTTAAACAAAAGGCTCATCAAGAATCGATGAAAATTTGATGACAGCTCACCAGCTACATTGATAAAAAGTGTGAAATCTGGAATTCTCCTCTTTAAGCTATCTGTATATGACTCACCTCCGAGACTTGGGCTTCAAGAAACTCGTAAACAAAATCAGACTGCTGGAATGCTCTCCAAGAGGTTCAGGAATGAAATTATGGCAGTGAAAACCCTCATTTTCAAGGGAATGAAAAAGCACACCAAGAGAATCCCTGAATAAACTAGACTTTAAAATAGAAAACAATAATAAATAAATATTATATAAAACAATAAACTACATTTTTCCGAAGATACTCTTATTCGCGCTAAAGCTGCATTAATCATAAGAAAATACATATTTTAGCATGAATCCTTAAAACGTCTCTGGTGACTTGCCGCACTGCGATGGAGCACCCAGACATCACTATAAACGTCACAAATCACAAAAGGAAACTCAACGCAGCTAAAAAAACTTTCCAAGCCAAGTCAGAACCCTATCTCAGACCAATGAAAGATTAGGAAAATTTATTTCTTGTTACTTCGCAAACTGGAAGATCTCGGCAAAAAAAATCTGTACCAGGATTTCCAGAATGCCACTGAAAATTGCACCCAAAACCATTATCCACGATACCATCCAGATGAACTCAACTTGGTGTTTTTATGAAGACAACTAAAGGAAAGGTCAAACCAAAGTCAGAGGATCAAAGTGCTTCCCCCTTCATGTGCAAGGGCAAAAGGTCAGCCTGGCAGGCATGCAAAGAACATGCATTATGTACACACATTATGTTGATAAACTGTGGATAAGCAAACCAATAATAGATATCCATTGTAATGTATTTGAATACATTAACCCGCCCTGATTGGCTCTAAGTGATGACATCACATTTATCCCTCCATCTATTTAAGACCGAACCAGAAGGATTTCTCAACAACTCTGGCTGTTGCCTGATGAGGCTGATTGTTGTAATTACCGGCGAAACATCACGGTACTCAAATTGTAAATTTTGTGGGTTTACTCTGCAACCCACAACCAGTTAGTGCTGAACTTGTAGCTAATTGCCATGTTTTGTTTACGTGACAAATGTTACGAATTGGTTGTGTCGGGTGGTGTTGGCGGGTTTCACGACGCATTCATATTTATGCAATCTAACCCAAAAAACCTCTATTATGGTTATTGGTTGCAAAAGCCTTGTACTACGACGTGTTAGACAGGTTCCAGGGACATTTGTGCACATGGAGCTATCGCCGCCTTTGAACAGTTAACACTTTACACTCTCTCGTCGCTTCAAAAAAGCTCCAAAGATTGTCTTGCCGTCACGTACGACAACACAAGCCCTCTCAAATCTGATATGCGAGAGGCCGCAGTGGATCTCTTTCCCGTCGGAAGGATCGAGCCATGGACACATTCCCACCCACTCGGGATGATCTAATTAAAAACGCTCAACGGGCCCCGCCACCTACCAGGCTGGAATTTTGGTCACGAGCACCACGTCGGGAGCAGCTGTCTCCTTCTCCAGAAAGGCTTCGTTTTGGTTTGATTAACAGATAAATCGTTGGGTGCCAATTTGTATATTCAAATTTTAAAGAGGTTGTTTAAAGCATGTGGAGGAGAACTCTGAGCAAGTGTTCCTGCAAAAGGAAACGGTTTTCAACCATGTGGGAGAGCCAACCCTAGATTGCTTGCCGCTATGCAAACGTAAGGAGTCCGTGGGGAAAAAAAGGACTGAGAAAAGGTGAGTGTTGCATCACTCTTAAAATACAAATGTAAGGAAATTATAAAATATTACTGTACATATACACGGTTTATGATAGATTACACATCTCTGTATATATGTTGAAATTATTTTGCACTGTACGTAGCCACCTGTGCTGATCGAATGTCAGAATCCATTTTCTGGTTGGGGCATACTGACTAACTTCGAACATAGCATGGGCTTTCTTTCCACAATGATTGTCGGCCACAATTTGGATATTAAGACACATTCGGAAGGGCTCCTTGCCTCATTATTATTCTAAGCACTGAAAATATCCAAACTGAAAATGTGGTGCTTTTATCCATCGTGTAAGGGCAATGTTAAATGTCTTTCCCTGATGATGCTGGTTGTAATTACTGGCGAAATGTCACGGTACTCGAATTATAAATGTTGTAGTGGGTTTACTTTGCAACACACTGGTGTGCTGAACTATAAACGAATTGGCCACGTTTTGTTTACGTGACAAACCTTACTAGTTTACTGTTGGCTGGTGGCAGGTTTAACGACACGTATATTTACGCGATCTACCAAAAAAAAAACCTCTATTATGAGTGACTCATCACTAAGTGTGTCCGAGCATGCTTGTTTAAATAAGTAAGTGTTGTAAATCCCTTGCCACACTCGATGCACACGTATGGCTTTATGCCAGTGTGGGTTCTAGAATGCTTATTTAAATCGGTGTGCGTTGAAAACTCCTTGCCGCACTCCTTGCACACGTGCGGCTTCTCGCCAGTGTGCGTTCTGGAGTGCATCTCCAAATTGTAGCGCTGCGTGAAACTCTTCCCGCACTCCGTGCACACGTACGGCTTCTCGCCCGTGTGCGTCCGTGAGTGTCTCTCCAAATGGAAACGACGTGAAAATCCCATCCCGCACTCCATGCACACGTGCGGCTTCTCGCCCGTGTGTATTCTACGATGCTTATTTAAATCGGTGTGCCTTGCGAATCCCTTGCCGCACTCACTGCACACGTGCGGCTTCTCGCCAGTGTGTATTCTACAGTGCTTATTTAAATCGGTGTGCGTGGCGAAACCCTTACCGCACTCCTTGCACACGTGCGGCTTCTCGCCCGTGTGCGTTCTGGAGTGCATCTCCAAATTGTAGCGCTGCGTAAACCTCTTCCCGCACTCCTTGCACATGTATGGCTTCTCGCCGGTGTGAGTCCTGGAGTGCGTCTCCAAATGGGAACGCTTTGAAAAAGTATTCCCACACTCCTTGCACATGTACGGCTTCTCGCCGGTGTGTGTCCTGGAATGCATCTTCAAATTGAAGAGCTGTGCGAAGCTCTTACCGCACTCCTTGCACACGTATGGCTTCTCGCCCGTGTGTATTCTATAATGGGTCTTTAAAATGGAGAGCTGCGCAAAGCACTTACCGCACTCCTTGCAGACGTTTGGCTTCTCGCCGGTGTGCGTCCTAGAATGCTTTTTCAAATCGGTACGAGTTGTGAACCCCTTCCCACACTCTACGCAAATGTGCGGCTTCTCGCCGGTGTGTGTTCTACAATGCATGTTCAAGGTAGAGCGCTGCGAAAAGCCCTTCCCGCACTCGTTGCACACGTGCGGCTTCTCGCCGGTGTGCGTTCGCGAATGCATCACCAGGTGGGAATGCTGCGTGAAGCTCTTGCCGCACTGGGGGCACACGTGCAGTTTCTCGCCGGTGTGTCTTCTCGAGTGTATCTCTAGATTCGACCGCTTTGAGAACCTCTTCCCGCACTCGACGCACACATGCGGCTTTGCGTGAGACTCGGGGCCCCCAAGAATCTTGCCGCACTGCGCACAGCCTCGCGGCGTCTGGCCGACGACGCCCTTCGCTTCATTCACCTTCGTTCGGATCGGTCTGCTGACGCCGTCGCCATCCCCGCACTCGGCGCACAGCAGGTCCGCCGGGGTTGCTTCGCCTGTCGCGCACGTAAACAAAAAACGGAACGCGAAAAGACGGCCCGTGAGAGAGAGAGACAGTCAAGTGGTGTGTAGAAGCTCTCTTATCGATAGCTCATATTTACCTCGCGTCTTATTTCATTAATGAGACGATGAAGTAGACCTGTTGGGAAGCGTCACGAAATATCAGCCTCTTTTTGCAAGGGTGACCCTGGGTTACGTCGAGAACAAATTAATAACACTATTTAAACTATTATTTGGGTCTTTCGGTAAAGTCAACTAGATAGGTTCAAAGAAAATAACAAAAACTACGACGGTTCGATCGTAACACAAGCGGTTGTCATCAGAAAAAAACGGTAGGACCAACACCTCGGCCGTGGCTGATCATTGTTTTAATGCGGTGGGCTCACACTAAATTTATTTCTCTAAGACGAAGGTACTTTGCAAACCCACTGGCTATCAACAAAGATTTGTTCATGAAGCCATCCATATATACAGACACAAATTCAACCGAGAAGATGGGTACAAACCTAGTAATCATTGGAAGGACGTTATCAACCAGTTTAAGTCATAACTGGCTGTGATGTTCCCATCCTGCCACCTTCCGATGTTGTTATTTTCGGCTCTCCGATTTACATTAACAGGTTACATTTCTGATATCAACACAGTCACCTCTGCGCGCCGACCTTGACGTGGCGGCGGCTCTGCGATCTTACATCAACATGCCCTTTTCTCACATTAACAAAACCACCTCAGCGCGCTCGCCTTGGAGGCCGCTCCCCGATCTCACATTAGCATGCTAATTTTTACTTGGCAGCCTTTTAATTGGTGGAAACCCACCACCAGCACCGTTGCTGCCCATCTCATTAACATTAGCTGCCCCTCCCATTTTAAACCTTTATAAACAGTTTGCCTTTAGAGGCTAACCCCCTTTTCCTGATGACGACCGCTTGTGTTGCAATCAAACTGTCGTAGTTTTTGTTATTTTCTTTGAACCTATCTACGTGACTTCACTGAAAGACCCAAGGAATATGAATTCCTCTAGTCATGAAAGCTTTAATTCAATATTTAAACTGTATTTTTTTACAACTATATCCTCCATTTAACAATAAATGAATACGAAACAAACTTAACAAGCCTAAAAAAGGTAAAACCGGGCGGAACAATTATCAGTATACAAAAATATTATTTTAGGAAAATAATATAATAGATTAAGATAATCGAAGTGGCTTATCACATGGACATTTAGGAACCCAAATACTTTAAATGCATGCTGCAAAATGTGGATGACCACAGTGAAAGAGACGCACAAACTTAAAATATACAACAGGCGTCAGGGTCAGGATCGAACCCACGACCTCCTGTATACCAGGTGAGGTAGTTAACATCTCGCCACTGAGGTGACATCAGGTGTCCATCTCATTTATTGTAGCATGATCAAATTAATGTGGGTGATAAGGAGCATAAACCATCACGCGAACTCCTGTCATCCTCGTAGCGGCTTTTGGCTGGCCATCGAACAAAGATGGTCACCGCATTGCGCCCTTTCAGATGTGCTTCTGCGGCCATCTAGAACAGCTCTTCCTTCCGATATTAGTAAGCCACTAGGAGCTATACACTTTTAAATCATCATCTAGATTGGCAAACTAATTTTTTAAAATGCTTTTTGTGCTTAGTATGTTGTCCTTTCCCCCCCGCACCTCCGATTAGCATGGTTGGCTACGTGCGGTCCGAAAGAAGTTTAACAGATATACGTACATAAAACAAGAAAACTACGTTTTTTTTGGGTTAGATTGCATGAATATAAATGTGTCGTTAAACCCGCCACCACTCGATACAGTCAATTAAACAAAATGTGTTGGAGAGCAAAACCCACAGCAACATTTACACATTTGAGTACCGCGACAAACGGTTTTCGCCGGTAATTACAACAACCCACCTCATCAGGCGATTCGCCAGAACTGTGGAGAAATCCTCCTGTTTGTGGCGAAAGCCTACTGAACGCGTAAAACAAAACGAGAGAGTGTTTTTTTTCTTTCCTCTCTCTCTCTCCGCGACCTCACCTTCGCCAACGTCTTCCTCATCCAACTCCACCTCGACAAAGTTTTCGTCTGCAGTTGCCGGGCACCCACGGGAACTCCCCGTCACCATTGGTCTCTCATTGGCTCCTCCCTCAAATTTGAAGTGATTAAAATCCAGGCCTGTAATAATAATAAGCACTCATTACAGATGGAAGGTCTAATAATACAGTGCTTATTAACCTTTCTTGCAGCCTTGCACCCCTTAGGTTCTCAATCTTAAAAAAAATGTATAATGTTAATAAACACATAGGGTTTGATGAAACAAAGTATTTGTTACTTACGTGACCGTGCTTAATTTGTGTTTGGACGATTTGCCTTATAAAAAAATATGGCCATGTCTCACAGCCCCCAGAAAGTGCATCTCGCACCCCCAGTTGGCGTGAGTGCGCCTCAGCTTAGTAACCACTGGTCTATTAGATGTGAAAAAAAACAAGTGTTGCACAGGCAGGTTATGGATATATCGAATACACTTTTGAATTATTGACGTGTTTACTTAAATTTTGATTTAAAGCTTTCGTGACTGCAGTAATTCATATTCTTAGTTTTTTCGGTAAAGTCACGTTGAAGGGAAACAACAAAATAATAAAATATATATAAATGGGCCGTTTAAAAATAAATTTATGCAAACCAACACACCTGAAGACGACCGTTTGAGTTATGGTCGAAACGTCGTGAGAATTTTTTTATTGTTTTATATATATTTTATTATTTTGTTGTTTCCCTTCAACGTGACTTTACCGAAAAAACTAAGAATATGTGTTTACTTAAGTTATGCTCTACGCATCTTCAGCTTTCAATTCCACTGAACTAAAAGTTATTATTTTAAGTAATTAAATCTAAACTGCCACGTTAACATTGATACCTATGTAGTGAAGTTAAGGGTGTCACTATGGTGTTAGTGTCATGGAGTAACGCGCGCGGGGTTTGCAAGCAGTGTGCACGCATGTGGGTTGTGGACAGTGAAGTCACGTCAGGGCACACAGGTGCAGAGAGAGACAGCAACCAGAGAAGGTGACCAATTAAGGGTGATTGGCTGGCTGAAAATGCAGACATGGTGTAGGCGTCTCGGGGTCTGGAGATTGAGGTGATAGCGGCGGAAGCCACGGGTGTGAGGCGACGGGAGGTCGCCAGCTTAATTAATGAGGAGTTAATGAGTGAGGGGATGTAAGGCAATGTGCAGAGATACACGGGGGAGTTGTGAGTTGGGTTGGTTGGAGTGAAGACAAGTCCGGGGCCCCGCTCTCCACACCTCGTCCTCTCCAGCGGGGATGCCTGGACCCCCGCTGGAGGCAAGGGCGAGGATGGAGGAGCGAGGGTAGACAGGCTAGCAGTAGAGAAGCTAGCACAGTATGTAGCAAGAGGCTAGCAGGAGAGAAGCTAGCAGAGTGCATAGCGAGACGCTAGCAGTAGAGAAGCTAGCAGAGTATGTAGCGAGAGGCTAGCAGTAGAGAAGCTAGCAGAGTATATAGCGAGAGGATAGCAGTAGAGAAGCTAGCAGAAGATATAGTGAGAGGCTAGCAGTGGAGAAGCTAGCAGAGTGTACCGGTAACAGGCTACCAGCAGGGAGGCTAGCAGACTGTACGGTGGGAAGCTACCAGTGTGTAGTGATAGGCTCGCAGCGGAGAGGCTAGCACAGTGAGAGAGCGGAGCGAGCGAAGCGTGGCAGGCGAGCAGCGCAGGCGGGAAAAGTTGCGATGGAGTTACGTGGTGTTGAACGCGAGGAGTTCTGTTGAATAAAAGTGAAACAGGAGAAAAAGAAAGAAGGTGTCCGCGTGAAATAAAAACACTACATTAGCACCAGCCACTGCCACAAGAGTGCGACTGTGCATGTGGAACCTCTCTCAGGGGCCAGACTAAGTACGGCATGCGAGCAGGCCCTCGGGGGGCATAGTCCTGGTGACGGCATGAGAGAGGGCAAGTGAGGATGGCGTAGTCTGGGTGAACCCGAGAGGGCACGTGACTGGGACGGGGGAGCAAACGGGGCTTGAGGGACATGTGATGCTCAGTCGGGATCCTTCGGGAAAGATCCCGAAGGACGCGTGGCTGAGGGCGGAGCGAGGCCACGCTCAGGAGCATAAAGGGGCAGTCCCGGGAGCGTTCGAGACTGTTCTCTGGAATCAACCCTCGGCACTACGTCTCTCCGATTTTCGGTCTCCGCTCGGTATCATGGGTCAGTCAGGATGTTACTGACTGACCCGGTTATGTAGTTACCCTGTTGGGGTCTAGTTAACGTGTGTAAGTTTATGTAGTTAGCCCTGTTGGGGTGTGTAATAAACGTGTTGCCTCCAAGTCAAGTGTATGCCTCCGTGAAGAACACTACACATATAATACCATGTACATGTTTTTTTTTAAATATTGCTGACAGGCTGGCTGGGGGGATGGATGGATGCGCATGTCTAAAGGATTTGGGCATTGTTCGTTTGATGATGACGCAAAAAATGATCAGTTCCGTTTTTGCCGAGTTATGTTCCTTAAATATGAACTCTAGCAGCTAAAAATCAAGATATTGGCACTCACTCGTCCAAATAGTGGACGGCTACGGACATGTCAACCAAAAACATAATTGAGGAACCAGGAGTGTGGCAGTATCGGGTTTCTCTCGCTCACGACAATCCTCCATAAATGGTAGATCAAAAAGAATCACCCAAGTACAACTGTGGTAAAATTCAAGCTGTCAAATATGTCATCGACGATTTTGCCATTCCATGAACATCCCAGCAGTGTGTCGCTGCAATCCATACAGCGTCTACTGACTTCTGAGAGGCGTAGTAGTAGTCGTGCTGTTGTTTTTATAAAGGACGTTGTTGGTCACCGCAAAGAACCGTAGCGACACGACCGCCGCCATTCTACGATAGCTGGGCACCAAAACTGTGCCACACGCCCATCCCCGCATTGGCCTTATGGGGGAGCCTCCGGACCAAAAAAGTTAATTTAATTTAGTTTTCTGTCGGAACGGGAATGGGTTAATTGCCCAACCACACCTTAATTACGTAGGGGACTACAGAGCTTGGGAAATTGTTGGCACTGGCCCAGCGTGTGGATGCGTTTCCGCTTGTCTGTGGTTCCTCGCGCCTCCGAGTCATCCGCTCTCCTCAAGAGTGAGCGAATACCGTGCACATTATAAGTTGATATTATCTTGTGTTTTAAATGTTTACTATGTGAAATTGGCATAAATAAGCATACAAATATCCTACTGTAAAAAGTTACCGTATTTACTGTACCGTACTTAACACTCTAATCTCGAAGACTCTGCATGGGGTGATGTACGTAGTACTACTAGGCTCTTGTTTCAACAACCATGTGTTTGACGATCGCCAGACTGGGTTACAGCCTTTGGAGCGGTTTGGCTGGATCAGCCCGGGACCGCCGGATAATGTTGGAAGCTGGATCATCTCGTGCCGGGTAATCGATGATTAACTGTAGCATGACTGAGATATGATTGAGATATGATTAGTGTTAAAAACTAAACATAGAATTTTATCTGTCTTCTTCTTTCGTATGGCTGATGTAGATGCAGAGCAAGAACTACAATGTCACATTGAGGTGGTCAAGCCCAGACAACCGCAGAAGCGGAGTCGCGAATCACCATCGCTGTGATGATGTCTCCTTCGTATTTGTGGATTGGGGGCATTGCGTCGTTGTGTACGGTCTGTTCTAAGTGACCACAGTCGCACCACAGACATTCTTGGCTCATCACTAATATAATGAGCCAAGAATGTCTGTGTGTAACGCGCGTGACGTCACTCCACGTCGACCAGTCCCCCTAATTAATCATCCTGAACAGGTGGGGTTCTCCACATGGAACCCCCCCCCCCCCGCACCGTCAATAATAATCATGAATGGGTGACGTCACTCCGCATGAAGATGGAGCAGAAACGCGAATTTGTTTACGCAAATTAGCTTTCATTTTGACCTTTCTTGATGGAAAAGGAAGGCTAATAAATAAATCAATGCAGAAACTAATATAACGAGCCAAAAAAGGCTGTGTGTGTGTCCCACGCGTGACATCACTCCACATGTGCCCCCCCCCCCTCATTATTATTCATGTGCCTGGATTTTTAGCCTAATGCAGAAGGTCGAGCGGCTAAATATGGTATACCGAGAAATCTTCCAAAGTCCTTAATTTAATCAAATAAGTTAAGAAACAATTCCTTATGTGCTACATTTCATAATACAATTTACAATCACACAAAAAAACGTTAATTTACATATTTTATTTTTCAGCTTCCATCCTAGGACGGGCTAACACGCTAGTTATATGAGTGATGAGATAATGAAGTAGACTCGTTAGGATGTGTCACGAAATACGTCGAGAACAAATTAATAACAATATTTCAACTGGTTTTTTTGCAAACATATCCTCCATTTAACAAAAAATAATATGGAACAAACTTAACGAGCCTAAAAAAGGTAAAACTGCGCTTAACAATGATCAGTACACAAAAATATTACTTTAGGAAAGGAATATGACAACAGATTAGGTAAGTACAAGTGGCTTATCACATAGACATTTATAGCAACCAAATACTTTATACACATGCTGCAAAATGTGGAGGGGAAAACCGTAGGACCCAGAGAAAAATCCACATGACCACGGTGAAAGAGACGCACAAACTTAAAATATACAACAGGCGTCAGGGTCAGGATTGAACCCACGACCTCCTGTATACCAGGCGAGGTAGTTAACATCTTGCCACCGAGGTAACATCAGGTGTCCATCTCATTAATTGTAGCATGACCGAGATAATGTGGATGATTAGGAGCATAAATCATCATGCCAACTCCTATCATCCTTGCAGTGGCTTTTGGCTGGCCATCGAACAAAGATGGTCACCGAATCGCGCGCTTTCAGATGTGCTTCTGCGGCCGTCTGGAACAGCTCTTCCTTCCGATATTAGTAAGCCACTAGGAACTATGTACTTTTAAATCATCATCTTGATTGACAAACTCATTTTTTTTAAATGCGTTTTGTGCTTAGTATGCTGCCCCCCCCCCGCACCTCCGATTAGCACGGTTGGCTACTTACGGTGCTAAAGAAGTTCAACATATATATGTACATAAAACAAGAAAACTGTTTTTTTAGAATGCATAAATATAAATGTCGTTAAACCCACCACCACTCGATACAGCCAATGAATAAGGTTTGTCATGTAAACAAAATGTGCCAATTAGTTAATACTTTAGCACTAATTGGTTGTGTGTTGGAGAGACAAACCCACAGCAGCATTTACACATTTGAGTACCGCGACATTTTCGCCGCTAATTACAACCAGTTTTATCAGGCGATTTGCCAGAACTGTGGAGAAATCCTCCTCCTGTTTGTGGCGAAAGCCTACTGAACGTGCTAAACCAAACGAGAAAGCTTTTTTTTTCTTTCCTCTCTCTCTCCGCGACCTCACCTTCACCAACGTCCTCCTCACCCAACTCCACCTCGACAAAGTTCTGGTCTGCAGTGGCCGGGCACCCACGGGAACTCCCCGTCACCGCCGGTCTCTCATTGGCTCCTCCCTCAAATTTGAAGTGATTAAAATCCAGGCCTGTAAAAATAATAAGCACTTTCATTCATGACAGATGGAAGGTCTAATAATACAGTGGTTAAATTTCGATTTAAAGCTTTCATGACTGCAGGGATTCATCTTCTTGGTTCTTTCGGTAAAAGTCACGTAGAGTGGAAACAAAATAATAAAGATAATAATAATAAAACATAATAAAATAAAATTCTCACGACGTTTCGGCAACAACACAAGTAACCTTCAGGTGAATGAACAGGACTGTCCAGAAGACAGCGCTCGAATGAACATTGCCAAGCATGGATCGCGTCTTTTAAGCTGTGTGGGCGGAATTAACATATGAAATAGCATGTTACCCAGCACCACCACCGGATCGGAGGAGGGTGGATGCTGGGCGGAAAGAAAGGGAAGGTAAAAGAGCAGGCAAGGTGCGCTGCTGTGTCCTGTGTTGCGTTGTAACTCTATTATAAACTGTACTACTATGCAGTACAATATTATACCTTCCAATCTAAACTACATGGCATATCATATCCATAGATAAAATTCCACCTTTGAATTATACAATGCGTTACTATACACTACCCTATACTTTAGACTATAAAGTATTAGACTTGTAACATTACACTGTCTTATTCTATCAACCCTACTATATATCACAATGCTGTATATTCACAATACAATTACGATACTATATATTGCCTTATGAATTATGTTAAACATTACAATGTTATACCACATGCTATAAACCATACCATTGACCGACGTGTGAAAGGTATTAAGAGGCATTGTCAGCGAATGGACTGCAGTCTGAAGGTCACCGTAAAATACAATCAATTAAGAACCGAAATGTTTTTTTTTAAGCTGTGTTAATTCCACCCAAAAGATTACCAGTTCCGTTTTTGGCGAATTATGTTCCTTACATACAAACTCTAGCAGCCAAAAATCAAGACACTGGCACTTACTCTTTGTTTTTTTTCGGTAAAGTCACGTAGGTAAAATAAAATACTAAAATTAAATCACGACGTTTCGGAGGCAACACAAGCTTCCGTCTTCAGGTGGAACAGACACAGCAAAGATCGCTGTACACTGGCACTTACTCGTCTGAATCGTGGACAGCTACGGACATGGCAAAAAAACAATTTCAGGAAGCAGGAGTGTGGCAGTATCGGGTTTCTCTCGCTCACGACAATCCTCCATAAATGGTAGATCAAATAATCACCCATTCCATGAACATCCCGGCAGTGTGTCGCTGCAATCCATACAGCGTCTACTGACATCTGATAGGCGTAGTAGTAGTCGCATTGGCCTTGTGGGGAGCCTCGGACCAAAAAAGTAAATTTAATTAAGTTTTTCTGCCGAATCCATTCCGATTACGTACACTTACACGTACGTCATCGGAACGGGAAAGGGTTAATTGCCCAACCACACCTTAATTACGTAGGGGACTACAGAACTTGGGAAATTGTTGGCACCGGCTCAGCGCGAGGACGCGTTTCCGCTCGTCTATGGTTCCTCGTGCCTCCGAGTAATCCGTTTTCCTCAAGAGTGCGCGTTATAAGTTGATATTATTATTTTGTGTTTTAAATGTTTACTATGTGAAATTGGCATAAGCATACAAATATTACCGACTGTAAAAAGTTACCGTATTTACTGTACCGTACTTACCACTCTAATCTCTAAGACTCTGCATGGGGTGATGTACGTTGTACTACTAGTCTCTTGTTTCAACCCCCATGTGTTTGACGATCGCCAGCCTGGGTTACAGCCTTTGGAGAGGTTTTGCCGGATCGGCCTGGGACCGCCGGATAATGTTGGAAGCTGGATAATCTCGCGCCGGGTAATCGATGATCAACTGTAGCATGACTGAGATATGATTAGTGTTAAAAACTAAAATGTTGTCTTCTTCTTCTTTCGTATGGCTGATGCAGATGTAATAGGTTCCGGAGACACTTGTAGAGGCGACTCTTTATTACAACACACCACGCCAACAATCCTGATACAGCCTAGGGACACGGCCTACTTCTAACGTGCCTGACACTGGCTATGCTCTCGGGTCCTCCGGCTATGATTACCCTAGGGGAGGCTACCTGACCCGACCCAGCAAAGGTGCGGGTCCAGACCTCTGGCGTCCACGGACCTCGCCCTTACAAGCGCGTTGGGCCGGGAGTCTCAGAGTCTCACCACTGGCCTGCACAGCATCCTGGCCCTTACAAGGACAGCGGGTCGAGGGGGTCCAAGGTCCTAAGCTGGCAGGTCCTGGTTCTTCGGCCGGCAACTGGCCCCGATCGGCTGGGGAGGTGCCCTTTTATGCCCCTTGCCCATCGAGGGGTGGGGTTGCGTGGGATCCCAGAACCCCCGCAGCCCCCCCCCCCCCCGTTGGGGGTGCCGAGGGGCTTAGCTGTCTGGGATCCTGAGCCCCCAGCAGCCCCTCCCCTCTTTGGGCTGGTACTGCAGCCCCTCCCCTGGCGGTACGAGGTACCGCTTGCAGATGGGCCCCGTCTACTTCTGCCGGTAAGTGCGGCTCATCTACGGCACTACATTACCCCCCCTACGTAGCCTCCAGCCGACCCGGCTGTCAATAACACAACAGGCCTAATAAATAAAAAAAATTCAAAAATCTAAATTTAAGTGTATGCGTGCGTCAATGGATGAACGTGTGAATGGGCAGGTGAAGGAAGTGGCAGCCCTCCCCCTTGTTAGCTTATGTAAAAAAAAAACCGCACGCATTCCACCAATACCCAGCAACACTATGTACACATATATACAGGAGGAACGCGCGGCCCCACCCGCCCAATGTGCATGTTGCCAAGTGAGTGGCGGCGGTGTGGAATGATAGTTCGGGGGCGGGGGTCAATAAAATCGTCTGAGTTTGGAGCGAGTCCGAGTGGCAGGTCCATCGGTCGCAGCGGAGGCGGGAGGGGGCCGACGTCCCTGGGGTTGGGCCCGTATCCTGGCCCGCCAATTTGGTGGGCGCGTTAGTTCCCGCTGGATCGGCCGTTGGGGGTGGCCGGGTGGATTTCACTCCTGAGGCACCTGAGGGCGGGATGACGGGCCATGCCCGAGAGTTAGTATCAGCATCGTCGCGGCGCAGCTCGTCGTACACGTCGCGCTCTCGGCCCCCGAGAAGTGCGGGAGGTGTGAAGGGTTGAATGTAAGGTTTTAGGCGTGACTGGTGTATGAACCAACGGCGCTTGCCATGCTGGATCCTGACGCACTGACAGCGGACAACGCGGACATTAACAACCGGGCCTCTCCAAGGCTTAAGCAGTTTTTGGAGCGAGTCCGAGTGGCAGGTCCATCGGTCGCAGCGGAGGCGGGAGGGGGCCGACGTCCCTGGGGTTGGGCCCGTATCCTGGCCCGCCGATTTGGTGGGCGCGTTAGTTGGGGGTACCCGCGGGCAGTGGAGCCAGGCGCGGTCCCCTTCTGCCCAAACATGGCGGGACGTGCGGAGGTTCCGCAATCGCTCGTTAGCAAGCTGACAAGCTTCCAAGTTATTTGAGCAGCCTCCCGGGCATCACCCAGACGACGCGCATGACCACGGATGTGGTTGGCAATCTTAACCCTAGGTGCGGGCTGGTTCATGCACAATTGTACGTTGATTGGAGGGCAAACCTCCCTACTATACATAAGGTAGAATGGCGAGTAGCCCGTGGTAGAATGGGGCGCCATTTTATAGGCGGCCAGGACACCAGGCACGTGGAGATCCCAATCAGTCTGTGAATCAGACACCTGGTGGCATAGCATGGAGGTGAGTGTCCTATGTATTCGTTCCACCATTCTGTCGGTCTGGGAGTGATATGTCGAGGTTCAAATTTTGTGTGTCCCCAGCAGGTTGCATACGTCCCGTAACAGGGTGGAAGAAAATGTTTTCCCTTGGTCGGTCAGCAGCCGATTGAGAGCACCCTTATCCAGGACGTAGCCCTGGAAAAAGGCCTCCGTAATGGTCGCCACCGACTGGTTGGGGAGTGGCCAGGCCATGGCCCATCGGGTAAAGTATTCTATCCCAACCAAAAGGTATTTATTTCTTCGGGGAGTAGCGGGAAACAGACCCAAAATATCCAAAGCCATGATTTCATTGACGCGGGACACCTAATAAAGATTGGAAGCCCGGGCAGGACGGCCTAGCAGGTGGTTTTCGCCGTGCACATTCGGTGCAACCCTGCAGAGGGTCAGCCACATTGCTTTGCATACCCTGCCAGAAAAATTCCAATTGAATCTTGGCGAGCGTTTTCTGAATGCCCAAATAAAAGAGGTGACTGTGGGTTTCCCACATGACCCGTCCCTGCAGGGAGGTGGGCACCACCAACGTGTGAGACTGTGACCCCCCTATCCGAATGCATGAGAACACCTTCCCGGATGACAAATGAGACGGGGCCCCCCTGCCGCCTGTGACCCTTGGCACCCTTAGCCCAGCGTCTCAATTTAAGGAAGGAGATGTCTTCCATCTGAAGACGTCCCCAGTCGTCCAACCCGAGGCCCAGCAACGCGTACTGCGAGGCCGCGGCCGCAAGGGATGGGGGCGGTACCCCGTCAGGCTGCCTACAACGCCCCGCACCAAGAAAACAACCACAGCGGCCGTCGGTCGGCAATCGCGGCAACCCGTCGGCGTTCCCGTGTTGGATCCCCTTCCGGTAAATGACAGTGGACGCAAAGTCCTGGAGGGTCTCGAGCCAACGCGAGAGCTGTCCAGACGGTTGGTCCACTCGCAAGGCGTATTGTAGTGCTGCGTGGTCGGAGCGTACCGTGAAATGTCTGCCATACAGGTAGGGTCTGTACTGCTGTACGAAAAATATGATAGCGAGCAATTCGCGGCGCGTTATGCAGTGACGCTGCTCCGTGACCGACAGCACCCTGCTGCCATAGGCGACGATGCGCTCCACTCCATTAACAATTTGCGACAGCACCCCTCCAATACCGGTGTTGCTGGCGTCTGTATCTAGAATGAACGGAGCGGTAAAGTCTGGACAAGACAAAGGAGGAGCATCGACCAGTGCTTGTTGGATCGCATTGAACGAGGCCTGTTTTGA